TCGAAATTGGTTTGAGGGTTTTGCTTTTTGAACTATATTCTCACAATTGAACTTATTTTCATTGTTTTAAGTTGATTGATGGCATACTTGCGTAAACTCGAAATTGGTTTGAGGGTTTTGCTTTTTCAACCATATTCTCACAATTGAACTTATTACAATTTTTTCATTCTTTTCTAACTTAAGAGTAACTTAATTGCAAGACTAAAGAGGTTTTAACTATTCACAAATGTAGATTAAAAGGTGAGCAAAGCAAAAAGGTTGAAAGGGGAAAGTGATTCATTGTCATGTCTCCTCCTTCGGATGGGGGTGGGTAACAAAGCCTTTTATTTTATTTTATTTTTTCCTTCATTTTCATTATATTTTCTCTCTTATTTAATTTTATTATATTATATTATTCAAAATCTATCTTTCATGTTTCTACTCGCTATTTTAACCGCTAAATGAGCAACTTGTATACATAGAGATTACTTATGCAATAATGGTAGATAGTCAATAACCAAAATACACTATTTTAAAGGTTGACAACCAATTTCCCCCAAAAATCATATTTTAAAAATTAATACATCAATTTTCCTTAGAGAAAAAAGATAAGGTATTTATAAAATAACAAAATTTAAAAAAACTTTTTTGAAAAGAGTAAATTATATTTCATTTTCTTAATGAAATCCAGTATTGCCTTTCGTATAGATTGAGTCGTTCAACAACACTTTTTCTTATTTAATTTTCACGACATTTAACGATCAAGACAATTTATTTAATACGTTTTTATTTCGTGAGATCATATTCTTACATGACAAAATAGCATTAAATACGTGCCGATTTCCTCAAATCTTTCACTTGTGGTAACTTTTATCCTAATCTTCCATTTATTGTATTTGGGACCCCAAATATTTTAATTTCGTACAAACTGAAGGACAAATGTCCATTGGTTAATCAATAAAGTTGATTTTGATGAATTTTAAAAGAGTGAAGAAATAAATTTATATTTTTCTACGTAAAATAAATAAATAAAAACAGAGAAATCTGCACTTTATCCCTCCTCACCCACTAAATGATATAATAGAATAAAAGCTACCATAAATTGAAAAGTTTGAAATTGCGAATGCAATTATCCCTTAACATAATGGTGAATTAGTCAACACCAACCCAACTAAAACGATCCCCAATATCCTGCATTCTAATGATACATTATTGGGGCCTTCTTGTTTTAAATAGGATTTGAACTATGAACTTTGAAACCTAAAAAGGCCAAAAATAACAAATATATTATTCATCAAAAATACATTTTAAATCTCACACGGTCGTACAAATGGTCAAAGGTTCGAAAAGTCAATCCAGTATTGTAGTTTGAAAAATTCTTGATGTACATAATCCAGTATTGTGGACTCCACCCCATGTGAGAGTTATGGACACCCCTATGTACACATAGCATATCCCTTGTAGTTTTTGTGTCCGCCACTTTGTTTTTATACGGTAGATTCACACTTGTTCGTTTGATTAAAAAAAAAAAGTCTATTTTATTAAAATTCTAATTGTAGGGATTATATTTATTTTTCACGGAAAATATTCTTTTTCCACTCAAGTTACTGTTTTTGAATATTTGATTGACAATTTTTTACATGAAAAATATTTTTTTAAAATTAGTTATATGACCATATTGTTTTCTAAAAAATAAGAAAAATATTTTCTAATTTTATGGAAAAGTACGTTACAATCAAAGACAATTTTTATATAAATAAGTCTGTACAATTCAATTATTTAAAATTTTTTATCTTTCGACCCAAGCTTCGCGCTTGCAAATAGGATTATTCATATAAAAACTACCCTAATATTTATATTTATCGTAGAAAAGCGGCATTTGCATAAAGCTACTTGTCATTGTTTCCGTTGATTTCGCTCAATGCATTGTGAACCCCATTATGGTGAACTGTTCCGCAATTGGCGCACAGAGAAAAAGTGGACTCATTACTCATTAGTCTAATGTGGGCTGTGGAAAGATTTCTGTAGAATTGTGTCACATATAAAAGCTCGATTTTCAATAATCCTGAGAATTTGGGTTGCTTTCTCTAAATTAATCTTGACTCCGGTCAAATTTTAGCATAATTTCTTCTGGGTGGATCTTCAAAACCTATTATCTCAAGATCATAGTCGTGGTGCCGGAGATGACGGTGGTGTGGTGAAACTTCGCTTTGTGTTAATGGGTTGCGTGACGTCCAAGCAAACGGTGTCCGTAACGCCGGCTGCATTGGATAACTCCGGGGCGCTAACTGGAGGATCCGAATTGGGTTCAGGTCGGAGCCGGGTGTGTAGCGGTGGTGGGTTGGATTTCAACTTGAAGAAGTTGAAGAAGAGATCGAATGAGTCGGGGAGCGAGTTGGGCGAGTCCGGACCGGCGAGTTCGAACGGGTGTGGGAGTGAATCAGTGAGTTTTAGGCTGGGGAACTTGCACAGGTATGTTGAAGGGGAGCAGGTGGCGGCTGGGTGGCCAGCTTGGCTTAGCGCGGTGGCTGGTGAAGCCATTCAGGGATGGGTGCCAGCTAAAGCCGAGTCTTATGAGAAACTTGAAAAGGTTACTAGATACTATTTAATATTTATATGTAAAATTATTAACTCATTTAATAAGTATAATTATATATTTGATTATTGAAAATGTGACAGTTTGTACTAATTGATACGCATATAATCGTGTCATGTCTTGAACTATATTAGGAAAATTAATGACTAATTGCATAAGCATATGGTGTGATAGTTTCTAAGCATCCATTAATTAATTCATAGAGCTATAGAGTTTGCTCCTTCGTCCAATCAGAAAATTGGACAAATACTGTTATGATTGACATATGATTTCCTATGAACTAATTTTGGAGCAATATTAAGAGTTTATTCATTAAAATAAGTACTTACAGATTGAACATCCCAGTATTTTTATCTACGATTAGAAGGACAATAAAAGTGAAGCAAAAGTATCTGGATCTCTGTATCTGCTGAGTTTGATACTCCTGTCATTAATGCAATTGTTAAGGACAGGAAAAATCAAAGCTTGAAGCTAGCGAAATGTTGGACGTATGTACTGATATTTTGTGCTAATTTGATCTTTGAAGCAAGTTAAATCAGTTCCTATATTTTGTATATTTATGTAATGTTAGCTTATGTTTTCTGCTTGTAATTTGTATATATAACCAACTGCTTTATGTGATACAGTGTGCACAAAAGTTTCTATGAACTATTCTCTTACTTAAACCTTTCTATATGCACCATTTTTGTTACAAAACCTCCTCGAATTTTCATTGTTATGATTGGCTTTTCAACTGATAAACAAGTTATTGTTATTTTGTTTCATCTTTTAAACAGATTGGTCAGGGTACATACAGCTCTGTATTCCGAGCTCGTGACTTAGAAAGTGGGAAAATAGTTGCTTTGAAGAAGGTGCGATTTGACAATTTTGAACCAGAAAGTGTTCGTTTCATGGCTCGAGAAATAATGATTCTTCGCCGGCTTGACCATCCAAATATTATAAAGTTGGAAGGATTAATTACCTCTCGATTATCATGCAGCATATATCTGGTGTTTGAGTACATGGAACATGATATCTCAGGGCTACTATCTTGCCCAGGCATCAAGTTCAGTGAAGCACAGGTTTGGATATTTATGTGAAAGGATATATTTTTCTTTCAGTGAGCACATTAGATTAGAACAATCTAATTTTTATTACAATGGTGATGTGCACCTTTGATGGTTTAGATGATACCTGAGCAGAAAAAAAATGAATATTTTATAATATTTGCAAGCATATTACTTTTTTTTTTCACAAGGAAAAGAAGAGGAGAATTTGAGGACGCCTATAGAATTCATGCTGATTAACTGAAAATGCTAACAGTTGTCATTTTTGTCCCTTGTTCTTGAGAATTAGTTAATTTTCTTTTATATATATACTAAGATCTGATTGACTTTATTTACAGGTTAAATGCTACATGAAACAGTTGTTGTCTGGTCTTGAGCACTGTCATTCTCGGGGTGTAATGCACCGGGATATTAAAGGTGCAAATCTCCTGGTAAATAATGAAGGAGTTTTGAAGGTGGCCGATTTTGGTTTAGCAAATTTCTGTAGTTGCGGGCAGAAGCAACCCCTTACCAGTCGAGTAGTCACCTTATGGTATCGTCCTCCTGAGCTTTTGTTGGGCTCAACAGATTATGGACCTTCTGTGGACCTCTGGAGTGTTGGATGTGTATTTGCTGAACTTCTCATGGCTAGACCAATCCTTCAAGGAAGGACTGAGGTAATCACCCTCCCAAATCATGTTCCAACCCTCAACTTTGCAGTGAAACACAGTGGATATGATGGATAAGGAAATTTTGCCAAAGTTTTAGCCGTAAGTTTGTTATTGAGAAAGAGTAGAATATGATAATAATACCTATATGCAATTTAACCTATGTTCGGCTCATGTTTATAATTACTCAAGTCACTTTTTATTCTCATATATCGAGAGGCCCACAAATAATATCCACTTATCCACCACTTTTGTCTATTTATTTATGATTTAAATCATTTATAAGCACTTCCCATACATGCTCTTAAGTTTATTTTATAAGCCTTATTTTGTTGAATAATATTTCATTTTGTTTATAAACAGCATCAACATCTTGCTAAAATGTGTAACCTTCATTACTTTGAATTTTGAAGGCTCAAAGAATGACATGACGTTCTTTCCCTTAAACAGGTTGAACAGTTGCACAAAATTTTCAAACTCTGTGGGTCCCCTCCAGATGATTATTGGAAAAAATCTAAACTTCCTCATGCAACTTTGTTTAAGCCGCAACATCCTTATGAGAGCTTTCTTTGGCAGACCTTCAAAGATCTACCAAAGACAGCTGTTATACTGATAGAAACTCTCCTATCTGTGGAACCATACAAGCGGGGAACTGCATCCTTGGCCCTGGAATCTGAGGTATTTCGATTCTTTTTAATTGATTGTGATTAATGTTGCACCACTAATCTATGATGCATAAGCACAACCAAATTGAACGACTTTATATATATTTAAACCTATTTTACATATTTGAGAGATGTGTTTTTCTGCCCTTTTCCCTGCTTCACTTTGCAAAGAAATTCATTATAAATGCAATATGCTTGTATTTTTTTTTGTTAATTATTTACTTCAGAAGGATCTTTAAATCTCATTTTCTTCATATGCAATCTTCAGTATTTCAAGACAAAGCCTTATGCTTGTGACCCCTCAAGCTTGCCAAAGTACTCACCAAGTAAAGAAATTGATATTAAACATCAAGAAGATGCAATCAGGTGGGATCCTTACATTTATTCTATTGAATTATGTTTGTCCCTTGAAATTGAATTTTATTTAACTTGTTCCTGGATTTTCAGGAAGAAGTCTGGTGGAAGAACCCGACCTGAAACAAGGAAGCCTACCAGGAAACAGAATGGAATCAGTAAACTGGCACCAGAAGAGGTCGATATACAAGTATACTATATACACTTCCATTTGGGCTCATTTGCATATTAGTGAGCCTTATAAATAAGGTTTTTATATCTGCAGAACTTGCCTGTTAAAACTCGAGTCAAGCCTAAAATTAATGGCAATGCTTTAAGTATTCGCAATGGCGATAAAGTCTTAGGTCTGGACCTTCCAAAGCCATCAAGAGATGGAACAGAAGAGATGGCATCTCATGTAAAGAACGCATCTCAAGGTGATGATACCTATTTGGGTCCTTTACAAGTTTCAGGATCCAGTGGTTTTGCATGGGCAAGGAGACGGATGCATGATTCATCAGTAAGATCACGGAGTCGGTCTAGTTCCAGAAGTCTAATTTTTGAACCTTCGGGCATGTTGCAATCGAGAAATAACTTGGATTCACGAGTGGAAGAGAACAATGAAGCTGTAAATGGACATTGTGCTGATTCAAAAGATCATGACTCTTGTGAAGCCTTCAAACATTCAATGCTTAAACAGTGGAGCCAATTAGAACGTCCAGATTCCTTTGATACGTCTGATGGATACCACTCTCAGGAACTGTCACTGGCCCTTTATCAGAAAGATGAATTGGCTGCCAAGAGAATCAGTTTGGTAATAACATTATCTTTTTTCAAGAATTATCATTCTAAACTGCAATGCCAAATTTCTAGATGCTGAAATACATCTATTGCCATTTTGCACATTTCCGTGATTGAATTAGCTCAGTAAGTTGTCAGTAGTAAATCATTTTTCAGTTTATATTTACTTGGATGATAGACCCATCTGGCTATGGTGTCAACTTCGATTTAACAGTAACAAATAAATGTAGATTTTTGTGAAGTTTGTCACATGATAAATTTGCATAGCTTGATTGGATATATCTATCACAAAATTGAGGGGTATAGAAAGATTGTATCGAGGATTTATGTATAGTTTTTGTTCTTTGTGGTTTCTTCTTTTCTTCACTAAAAGAAGAAAAGATATTAATCCTTGTGCATAATTCATTTCAATTTCTTTATTTGTTCTAAATGGGACTTTAAACAGGTTTATCAGAATCAGGCGGAGAAGGTTGAATTTTCAGGACCTTTGCTCTCTCAAGCACAGAGAATCGACGATCTCTTAGAGAAACACGAGCGTCACATCCGTCAGGCTGTTCGAAGGTCATGGTTCCAAAGAGGTAAGATACTTTTCTTTAAAAAGTCAGCTATGCCACGAATTACTGTCTTACATATAATATATGCTTAGCTTGATTTAACATTGAGCTTATCCAAGTCGTTTGACATAATTCTATCAATTTCCAAGATGAAAAATACTGTTTATGCTGAATAAAATTTGTAATGATAACTTGCTCGCACCATTTGGCCACCAGCCTCTTTCTTCTATCACTTTCTGCATGTTATTTGTATCCCCTTTAAGCTGTGAATCTGAAAATCGATATTTTTCCTTGTCCTCATGCCATAAAGGATGTATAAATTACTTTCGATTGTTACTAACAATTTGAGCAGGAAACTGAGTGGAGTATTCTTTTATTTTCTCAACAGAGGTACCTATTGAGTGAAATTACGTAGATATCCTTGATTTTTACTGCAATTCGTATAGTTTGTGCAATTTCTAATGACAAATTCTTGTTTATTGATACCATTATTTTGTTTTGCAGTCAAGAGAAATGAAAAGTAACTGCACAGCATACTCTATTCCAAGTGATTCGCGAGAGATCTTGGCAACCAGAATTGAAATCGAGCCAACTCCATAATCGACAGGTTTGCTGATACAAAAAGTTGCCTTTGATGAAAAGGATTGAATGAGGACCATGGCCAACAAGGTTGAGGAACCAAAACTGAAGTCAGTGAGTCTGATATACATCAAACAAGATGATCATTGGGCTGATAATTCTTTTCTTTTTGATAGCCATGAAAAGTACAATAATATTTTATATTAATCATTATCCCTGTTATTTTCTTTATTAAGTACCCTGGACATCTTGTTAGAAAATCTTATGGTAATTGTTCCACGCTTGACTGTTGGAGTAATCAATCATGCTTCATGTATAAGGAACCCCTACCGACAACTCACACATAGGGGGGTGGGTAATTTTTTTTTCACTTTACGTGGGACCCACCTCATGTGAGAGGGTGCAGGGGTTCTGTACAAAGGGCTAAATCCTGGAGTAATGACCCTAACTGTATCCACGTTGCTAGGCTAAAACTTAGTTTGTGGGTTTATAACCAAATCAGTGCCTCCCCTTTCAAAAGTGAGTTCTATGAATTAGTGGTTACAATTGGAATTAGAGTGTGGAAAGGGCTACCTCTGGTAAGAGATTGATTTTATGAAATCACTTGTTGGGAATATAAGTTGTTTGTGTTTGTCGATTTTGAAAAGAGGGGTAGAATGTAATGACCTCAGTTGTATTCCACATCAGGAATTTAAGGCTTTATTTGAGGGTTTATAACCAATTGAAATCTTCTCTTCATAACTCAGTTTTAAGGGTGAATTTAATCCAATGTGAATGTTATGGTTGGCGATACGCCAAAATTAGTTTCATTTTGAGGAGTGGAGTTATTGAATTCTTGAAATGTAAACTAACAAGAATGCTTATCATACTTTAATTAAATATTTACTCATCGTTTATTAGCCAGAGCTCACTTCCACCTATGTATCAAAATCTGAATGGATCTTGAAATTTGTTATATTTTGATCGACATCACCGAAAAATTCATTTTTAACTATTCTTGGTTACTTGTATTATTATTATTATTTGATGAAGTAAGAAATAAATTCTGTTGTGGGGCTAAAATTAGTAATTATTTAAAAATAGATTGAAAGTTTCATTTGACGAACTACTAGAGCATTAGTTTCGTTCCGTGGAGGAAACGCAATATATTCTGGTACACGGTATAGACGATGGCTTTGGCTGAAAAGCGACACAATGGATGATAGAAAGCAACGTGAGGAATTTGACTACTCTCTTGTCCTGATGTCAATTGGATCGAGCTAGCTACAAAGAAGTTTGGAACGGTCTACTTACGATTTAATCGAATTCGTTAGGCCTCAAACAATGTGTTCTAATCAGTATTGCTACACGTTCTAATCCTAATCACTACACCCTCTCAAAAATAGGAGGCAATAATACTCTTCCCCGAGTTGTCAATGAACATTGAGTGACGTGTGTTTTCTGAAAGTAGGGATCTTCAAGTATGTTATGTAGGATTAGACATCCCTATGCCTACGCCGACCCAGAATTTATATCAAGTCGGACGTGGAACTGGTAGAAACGAGATAGGACGATCCTACTCATGTAAAATATTATTGTTTAAATTTTTTTACTCAAGTTCTATTTGTATTTTTATATGTGGGCCGGTCTACGTGGTTGTGAATGCCATAGTGCCAATATAACTGCCTCGGGCATGAGTAGCCTGGCCTGCCTTGATACCACTGCTTTGGTACGTTAAGATAGAAAATAGGACTTGAAGAGAAATAATGTACGTAACACGTTTCTCTTTTTTATTCTTATTGAGTTTAACGTACCGAACCTGACCATAAACATCTTATTATAAACTACAGCCCCTCGAGTGGATTCACATCACTTGCATAATACAGTGAATTACAAATGTACATCCTTTGTACAGAAGCTATCCCCATTTGAAAAGGGGCCTATAGCCAAGAAATATAGAAAATTGTTCAACTTTCTGGAATCAACACTACACAATCTCCTTTACCAACTTTATTAACAGATTTTGAGTGTAAAATGAATGGCATTGGAGAATTCTCTTTGATTTCTGAAAACAAATTCTCATGATCAATCTGTAATTCTGTTCTGCAACTCTTGAAAAACACGCAACCAACGACGGTATCTAGGACAAGTAAGATTGCATATAAGTAAGCAATGAAAATGCCCTCGAAAACCATGGATGAATTGAGAGAAGCAGTATTGTTATAAGCTCTTACAACGCGGTATTGAAACAAAGCTTCGACGGAAGCCATGGCTATATTGAAAGGCAGGGCCAATGACAACGCTGTTGCAGTTTGACCCCGGATCAGAAGAAAGGCCTTGAGAATCGTTGTAAATCCCCCGTGCTTCTCCACTCCTGACAACACGATTGCCAAGTTGCATAAGACGTAAGCATTGGCAAGAATTACCGAGTAGATAACTATCCCGAGTGCTGAAAGAAATAGGAAGTGCCCTGAAGAAGAAAGGCTTAATAAATCGAAGGAATTGAATGCGACAACTAGAAGAGAGAAACAAGTAGCATTTGCAGAAAGAATGATTAATAAGTTGCAAATTTGTGTGAGGTAAAGGGATTTGAATAGTCTGTTCCAAGAAGAAAAATGCTTATTTTCATGATAGAAAATGGCTTTTATTATCAACGCCTTAGCAAAGAGGAGAAAAGTGAGACTAAAGGGAAGTACAAGAAGAAATGTGACAGTGGTTTGAGAGAGTTTGAGATTGAGAATACTGAACAAGTCGGATGAGGGAGGGAACCCTGCTGCAAGGAAAAGGGTACGTAGACGGCCATGGACTAATGCGAAAATGGAAGACGACGGCAGGGAAGCTTGACACACAAGAGTCGAAGCAGCAAAAGGAAAAGCCACGATTGCTACTGTTGATGTGAAAAACTGATAGTTTTGAAGAAAAGTAAAGATCGATCTTCTGATAATTCTGCTTGATTTCTCCATTGGAAAGGAGGAGAAGTCTTCCATATGAAATGAAGGTTTTCTCTCTAGTTTAAATGAATCTTGGAGTGGAGATTTTAATGTATTTTTTATGGTAGTTTGAAAGAGTTGTAACAATTGATGTGTTGGATCAATTGGTGTATTGGAAAAATGGTTTGGCCAACAACTAAAAACAAACAGCACCTAGATGTGGAGTTGTTTTCACCATTATTTTGTCTGTTATTAGTTAATAGGCTTGAAAGGAGCACCTTTCCAAGATGATATCATCTATTACAGTATTTTTCACATGACGTGATTCAACGTGGTATCGGAACAAATGGATCTATTTAGTTCAAGCCGAGGGCGGGGTGCGGGGCGGGGCTGCGGGGATATTGATGATACTTTGGTTTAGAGTATTACATTATATTGGACAGTAAAATGAATTATTTTGTGTTGTCTAATTAATGTACCTCAAATGTGCCATGAATGTACCTATAATGGAAACATTAGAGTTTCTCCAAAATTGTAATAAAAATAATTTATTTATGCCATGTTAACAATTTAATAACTATCTTTGTAGTGCTAGACTATCGCAGATTATGTTCCTATGGATACATACACATAAATAAACATGTGTATATATTTTTATTAAAACATCTTGTTTAAAAACTTAAAATCGATTTATGATTTATTTGTGGGTGTATCTTTCTTGCACGTGAAAATAACTTGGCATGCACTCTTGGATGCAATAACACTATTATTTTACTTTTGAAATCATTAATACTAGTTGTGTCCTTTAAGTGTAGGTTAAGCCTTTTCTTTTCATTTTCAAAATTTCATAATTTGAGTCAAGAGAGAACAAAATTTCAAATATGAATACTTCCTTCCTTTTCTTATGTAATAATTCTTATTTTAACTTCTAAAAATCATATAAAATAAGTAGGAATGCCAATATAGTTTGAAATTTTTGCCCTCGCAATAAAATTTTATAAATAATCAACAAAAGGCATCACATGACACTCATTATGCAAGTTTTATATCAAAATCGTTGATGATGAGAAATTGCATGATGAGGTTGGTGAGCATGACTTTGATCACTAATCCTTGTGGTAGGTCACTTGTAGGGTCCAAAGCTCAGTTGATCTCTCTTCTTCTCTCTCCTTGTTGTTTAGATTGGAAGGAAGTATGTTGGAAGATAAGAATCGAGTGAAATGACAATATTTTGGTTAATGATTTATCGGCTTCTTGTATATTTGTATTCATCTCGCAATCAGGGCCGGTCCTGTGATCGGC